GGGGTGCCTTCCTCATAGCCCCTTGGCATGCCCTCTGAGTTGCTGCCATTGCTGCCTTAATCACTTGCAGGGTAATCCCTTAGGGTAGGGCATATTCCATGTGTGTTTGACATAGTGTCTAATGTGCTACAGACACTTGGAGTCGAGGCAAAACAAAGCCCCACCAAACGTGCAGCCTGTTTTCTTTGGGTCGATGTGGAGCTTGCCTCGCTATGCATTGGCAGCAGCTGAAGTGGGTGTTTAGTTTTCTTTTTAAACTCTGCCCCTGACCTGACAGAGGTGAACTGCTGGGAGTCTTTAACACAGAGGAAAGAGAAATGGAAAAAGTAAGCCACTCCTGGGTCCCCCTCCTCAGGGATGGGACAGCTCAGTGATGGAGGCAGAAAAGGTTGGGGAATTCAGGATTTGTGTGGGAGAAAAATCTCCTGACTGGCGAGGAGAGCTAGAACTCGGAAAGGAGGCAGCTCCTTTAGTGAGTGTACCACTGGGATTTGTGCCTTGGTGAATTCTTCATATATTACAGTGAATTTAATTAAATTCATTGTGATCCCAATTGAGGGCATTGTAATTAGCTGGGTCAGGAACAAATTATTCTCCCTCCTTCTCCAAATGAAAACATCTTCTGCTCTCTTCTGCGGGGTGGGGGTGGGGGGGGAGCATGTCCTCAGCTGAATGGTTTGCCCCATGGAGTCTTCACCTGCCCCTTCAGCCCCACCCCCTCCTGCAGCTTTTTATTTTTATTAGCCTCCTTCAGGTTCCAAGGGTGGAATTTACAGATGGGTCTCTTCTGGGGTCACGGACAGCAGGGTCATGGGGTTGACTGTTACGTAGCTCCAGGACTGGGGAATGACCAGATGTCACGGAGAAGGTCACAGAAGTCAGGAGAACTGCCCGGACTGCTAGCTTCGAGTCGCTGTTGCTGTTGGCCCCAGGTTGGACAGCCTGGGAAGCAGTAAGAAACGAGAATGTAAATATTTGATGAGAACAGGATTCAGGAAGCCATCAGGAGACCCTGGTTGTGAGCAGAAGTTGGGGGGGGGGGATATAATCATTATGAGCCTGGGTATGTCCCAGAAACTGGGAAATAGTCTAGTCCAGGCTTTTTGTAGTGCTTTGGGAACAGACCTTGGAGGTCAAAGCAAACCTGAGATTTCGAATTAAGCTTTTGCCAAGACTCTAAGACATAGCCCCCAGGGTTCCTGTGCCAGCGTCAGTGGGAGGGGTAGACATCCTCATCCCTTTCTCTCCCGTTTTCTTGTATTTGTTTCCCCACCACTTACGCCCTTTCCCTTTCCACAGTAGCTCTCCCAGCTTACCCCAGAACTTGTGATAGTACCCGAGATGGGAGCTTACCACCACGAGCACGAGTGTAGAGTCATTTAGGAACATTGTGACCTGAAGCAAGAGCTCCCAGTATGATGTTTATTCCAGTTCAGGGTTTATAGAGCCCTAGGACCCAAGGATTTGAGGACGAAAGACATTTGACATCTCACCTCCACCCAACTCTTTTTGGCCACGTTACCCTCCTCTTCTGGCTGGCTCAGATTGGAAACCCCCGCCATTTGGAGTAGGGACCTCACATCCAGATTAAAGGTGTGTGTTTAAGATTCAGTGCTTCATCGAAAGGAAACCTTGCTTTATGGGGAGGTGATGGCAGTTTGAGGTTAGGGCCTTCAGGAGTCTTGCTCAGATTTCATGGTTTATGATGCCATCAGTATCCCTTGATAGAAGTTACTCTTTTAGATTCCATGCTTATTTTCCCTGTCTCCCCCCCTCCTGCCCCCGGCCCCGAGCTTTCTTCAGTGTAACTCCTTTGTCTTAGTGACCTAAGGCAGAAGTTCCTGGCTCTTGTACAGATCTCGATCTGGGCCAAACCTTCGCTCTCAGAAAGAGCCCAGTGGAGTTTCCGGCTTCTGGAGGGCCTTGTCCAGGAGTCTGGGAGAATGAATGTTGGCCAAGGCTGTCTTTTCCTTTCACATCAACTCCATCAGACCCTTTTCTTCACAGGGATCTTGCCCCTGAAAAGCATTGCCTTGCCATGGCCCCTCCTCCCGACTGCAAGGAGGTTTATCTCGGGAACTCTGGTGGCATAGTGCCTAAGGCATTTGACTGCTAACCAGAAGGCTGGTGGTTCAAATCCACTAGCCACTCCTTGTAAGGAAGGTTCGGCGATCTACTTCTGTAGTGATACCACTTTGGAAACCCAAGGAAGGGTCACTGTGAGTTGGATCCAACTCCACAGCAGTGAGTTTGGTTCAAGGAGGTTTATCTTGGAGGAGGCAACTTAAAGACAAGCCATTTTAAAGAAATTAGATCAAAGTAACATCATGAGAAGTAGCTTTTTATGATCAGTTACAGTAGTTTCTGTAACTTACTGTTGAGCATGCTAGTTATTCAGACTCCTGGTTGTGAAGTTGTTCTGGGACAGCCATTGCTTGTGAGGATTTTCTTTAGTTCCAGGGTTCTGCATGTGAGTGTGTGAAACTCCTCATTTGGGGGGAAAGAGGAGAGTTTTCTCAATAGGGTGCGCATGAAGCTCGTATCATTCTTCCCTGCAAGATGGCTCGCAAACCAGAAGGAGTAGCTGAGTGAGTTGGCATCATAGGGCTCTCCATGCTCTTCTGGTGATTTTCTACAGCATTCAGTGGGTACATTCCTGTTTCTTCTTCAGACAACACGAAAAGATGTTCAAATTCAAAGTGCCAGGCTCTAGGGGCTGGGTAAGAGCTCCTTAACCTTGGGCTTCAGCTCTGCCTCTTGCTTCCTGCCCACTGGAGCTAGAGGTGTCTCTTTACTCAGGTAGCTGCTAACTGCTGAGGCTAACAAGCTCAAGGTCAACAAATAAAATGGCACAGTCTCAATATTACCAAACAACACGGCAGGCCACTAGTTTCAGTCCAGAGACAGTCCCAAGGTCAGTAGGAAATATGGCAGGCTGCTGAATGAAGACTCAGCTACATGCAGGGTCCAGGCATGCTAAAAAGCTGCAGAGACCTTTCCCAAAGCTTTTCCTTATATACTGGAAGCAGACCACATCCTTGAAGCAGTTACTGAGCTGCTTGGGGCAGATTCCACCATGGAGCTGATTGCCAGTCTCCTCATGGAGAATAACTACAACCAGCTGCCCAGCCACTCAAAACCAGGCCCAGCCAAGTTGACACATAACCTTAACTACCACAACATGCTTCTGGATTTTTCATACCTTTTCAATGAATGTGGGTTGTGTGGGTGTGAGCACATGAGCTTCAGAGTAGTGTCATCAGATCAGAAGCACTTGTGGGTCATTTTTTGTTTTCACTGTTCCATGGAGTCCAGTACATTCTAACTGGTCTCCCAGCCTAGTGTCATGCATTATGTGCTTGGACAAGGAGGATATGCCAGCAGGATCAGACACACTTCCCAAGCATCTGTTGTGCTCGTGTAGCTCCTTATGCTCTTCGGGTTACTGAGGAGGATGAGGACAGGACATGTGATGATAGGAGCACATAAACCACTAACTTGTTTGACTTGCCTCCTCCAGCAGTCCACTGTAGCCTGGGGGAGTGGGAAATAAGAGATCTAGGTTCTAGTTCTCTTTCCTACTAACTAGCTGGGTGACCCTGGATCAGTCACTGAAGCTTTTTGGGCTTGTTTCCTCTGCTTCATGTACATGGAACAGAAACATTCCCTCTTCCCCTGAAGTGGGTTGTTGGAGATGAAGCCTACGGCCTTTTTCCTGCAGGCCTTGTTAGTTCCGTTACTTAGTAAAGTTCAACGTCCATGCACAGAAGAGAGTCCATCACTTCATCATATTCTCAACAAGGCCCAAAATACTGACCAGTTTTGCTCTTAGATGATCTTAAGTCTTCTTGTTCTAGTCTGGTAGCCGCTGGCCTTTTCTGTGATCCTTGCTTTTCTAGCACTCCTAACTTTAACCCTATGAGGACCTGCTTCTGGCTGTTTCTTGGGCTTCCATGTTCTGGAACCTAAGTACTGTGTCTCCACAAATGCGGCCAAGAGCATCCTTTTGACCATCTGATGCACTAAGCCAAATGACCTTGAGATATTGACAGGGAACTGATCTGAAGCCAGGGAGAACCTTAATTTTGAGTTATCCTGATAGACAGTAGTTTTAAATGAAAAACAAAAACAGAAAAACAAAACTTGATTTGTCTTTCTAGTCAGAAAGTCAGACAGCCATCTTAGGTCTGTTACTGATAGTCAACTCTGGACAGGTAGAGTGACCACATAGGTTATCATCTAACATAGGAGTTGGCAGACTTCTTCTGTAAATGGCCAGATAGTAAAAAAATTAGACTTTGCAGACTATACAGCCTCTGTCACAACTAGCTCTGATGTTGTATGTAGTGTGAAAGTAGCTGTAGATGATACGTAAATGAATGAACATGGCTGTGTTCCAATAAAACTTTATTTATAAAAGCAGACGGCTAGTCAGATGTCGGCCATAGTTTTCTGACCCTGATCTAAACAAAGCAGTACACTTTGGAGAATGAAAGAGGGGACCTTTAATCATTATACCAGTTGGCTTATGGTATTATCACTGTGAAGATACACCCAGGAGAGCATATTTGGGGGGGACAGGAATGTGCATCACTGTAAGCACTTGTTTTCAGAGAGCTACAAGAGAAGGTACCAAAAAAAAAAAAAAAAGCCCACTGCCGTCAAGTCTCTTCTGACTCATAGTGACCATTGAGTTTCCAAGACTGTAAGTCTTTACGGAAGTAGGTTGCCTCATCTTCCTCCCACGGAGCAGCTGTGGGGTTTGAACCACCATCCTTGGGTTAGCAGCCAAATACCTTACTCACTATGCCACCAGATCTCCTTCTGCAAGAGAGGGTGCATTGGGGAAAACATAAACAAACCCTCTAAGAAGCTTTGCAATCAACAGTGTCTCCTTTGACTTCAAAGATGTGGCTGCAACCAGGATGGGCGGGCTCTGTGGTGATGGTGGGCTTTGAGTGGCATATCCAACGCATGTCCCTCTCCGTTGTCCCTCACAGCACCTGCAGCAGCACGAGAGTGGCATTGAGGGAGAGAGCTGCTACTACCACTGTGTCCTGTGCAACTACTCCACCAAAGCCAAGCTCAACCTCATCCAGCACGTGCGTTCCATGAAGCACCAGCGCAGCGAGAGCTTGCGCAAGCTGCAGAGGCTGCAGAAGGGTCTTCCTGAGGAGGACGAGGACCTGGGGCAGATCTTCACCATCCGCAGGTGCCCCTCCAGCGACCCAGGTGAGTGGCGTGGCAGGCTCAGAGACCGGGTGGCCCAGGGTGTCCACCTCCAGGAGACCTGCCAAGGAGTTTGGTTTGAGGCAGACGACATTACTGTTACATCTCACAGATAATGATTGTGTTCTGGAGGAAACATATGTGGAGTATGTTTTAGATTATTTTTAAGGAACTTTGCACCACTTTTCTTCAGAATACTAGGTGTGGTACTCAGCCTTAAGGAAGCCTCAAGTCACTACCCCATGAGCAGATGTTTTTGCCCCTATCTCTAAATTCCTCCAGTACCTATTCAGGACTCAGTTTATTGCTTCAAGTGGACATAATGCATATATTAAACTGTGTCTGACTGTTAAGAGTAGGCAGTTTGTGGCTTCAAAGTGTGATCAGTAGACATGAACTTCAGACTGATCAGAACAGAAAGTGCTTGTGAGTTTTTGAAATTGTGCTTAAGAGTGATTCTGGCTGTTCCATGGGTGAGTGCTGCTAGCTCCCTGATCAGGAGAGTAGAATCCATCTGTGCAAGCTTGCCCAGCCTTCTCCAGCCCTGTCCTGTCATCCTGTCCACAGTCACCCTTTTTCTGCACCTCCTTTTCTCCTCTTTGTGAGTTCTGTCTCCACTGGGACCTCATTCGATAGGCTCATACCCACTCTTCTATTTTTCCTGTCTTCTAGGCCCTTTCCCTTCACTAGCAGGCACAGGATAGTGCCTTTTCCAAAACAGTGAAAACAATAATCTCCCTTAATCTCATATCTACTTCCTCCCTTCTCCCCAGAATCTTCTCTGCCCCTCAAGATTCTTGCCAAGAATAATCTGTATGGCTCATCTGTAGTCCACGCCTCTTCCTATCATGGCCTATTTGCTCCCATCAGTAAATCACCCTTGTCCGGGCTGCGTTGACCTTGTTTTTCCCTGACCCAATGCTAACCAGTCTTTATTCTTTTTCTCATTTTTCTGCAGCATTTGAAGTCATTGTTGCCCATTCTCTTCTTGAAGCTCCTTCCCTTGGCTTCTAGGACATCTTTCTTGCTTGTTCTCCTGCTTCTCCTGACCACTGTCTATGTCCGTCCTTGGGGCTTTGTCCTCAGCCTGTCCCACAGGCCACTGCCATCCAGGCTTTAGCCTCTGGTCCTCGGCTCCCAGCCTCTTAAAGGTTTATCTTGTAGTGTTGCCAGATGTCATTCAGACAGCTTCTTGGACTTCTTGGAGTTAATGTCACCTTAGTCCCTGGACTCATTGACAGTGACCTTACTACTTTCCTCACCAGCCTCAGTTTTCCTTCCGACTCCCTCCTTTGTTTAATGGTCTGACCAACCCAGACACTTGGTCCTTCCTCATGCCCCATCTCCTGCAGCACCATCCCTCTCAGCCCGTTGAGCCTTCGTGGCCGTGTGGGGTTTTTAATCTTAGTGTTACCAAATCATACATGTTTTATAATTTTCAAAACCAAAAAGTTATATAAAAAATGTCATGCCCCTGCCCCATCCCATTCCATGGAGGAATGGCTTTTGGCTTTCAATTATTTCTTTAGATTCTTAATTTCCACATTTCCTAATATGCTTCTACGGTTTTTTTTTTTTTTTTTTTTTTATGATTTGGTAATCTTAGACATTACCTGTTGGATGTGCTCCAGAAAAGAGGATTTCCCTATTTCTGTTGTACAGACCCTCTATAAACACGCATACCCCATACACACTCGCACCCACACCCTACCCATAAGTACAGAAACACACAAACACTACCCAAAAATAAGGCAGCACACTCATATGCCCCTGTTCTGCTCACACGTGTGCACAGCATACACAGACCCACACGCACACACTTACGGACCCCTGCCCCACTCACACTCCTCCACTCCCCCATTCTCCCCAGCCTCCCTACTTACTCAGTCTTTCCTTCCCTCCATTTTCCATTATGATTAAATAATAATTTGGGGTTATATTAATATTCAGTGTTTTCATTATTATAACTCTATAAATATTAATCACAGCTGAGCCATGTAGAGTTTTATAATTTCATTTACCTTCTTGTACAACTTTTTGTTTTCCCTGCTTTTCTCGGTTCTTATGTTTAATTCATGGCTAGGCCTCTGCCAGAGTAGACCTTTTTCTCCTCTGAATACTCAGATACGTCAGGTCTTCTGTCTGCTTTAATTCCTCCTGGGCCAGTCCCCCGCGGCCCTCTGGGTCCCCTTGTCCACCTGCTCCAGTCCTGATTCCTCGATGGCTCCTCATTTCCCCTCCCTGTATAAGTGGAAATGGAATCTCTCTCTCAAGCTGGACTTCCTTCGAGTGTGCACGCCTGCCTAAATGGCAGGACTCACATGCATTGACATTGAAGAGTGCTTTCCTCTGCGAGACTGGTTGAGGCTGTCTATCATAGCGAGGAGGAAGTCCTCCTGACAGTGTTTCTGAATGGATAGGAAAGTTTTATTGGGTCATTAGGACGATCTTGGTCACCTCCGGGTTCCTGCAGGACTGTCCCTCCATGTGTTTTTCAAATGCTTCTTAAGGTTGACTTGTAAATGCCTTGATCTGTGCTTTCCAGCTTCCTGCTTCCTCTCTGACCCCATCCCTCTGGGTGTGTAGTCTCAGGAGTGAGGGGTGGGGCTGGCCCCACAGACACACCTCTGTGCCCGAGGACAGACACGACTGTGGGGGCTGGCCTCGACCCTGCCACTCCCAGTTTCCTGGCTGTCATTTGCCAGGTGTCCCCTCCGTCCCCTTTGCCAGGTGTCCCCTCCGTCCCCTTGTCTACCTGGACCTCTTATTTCAGGGCCTGTCCTTTCTTTTTTCCACCCCTGCACATGTCATTGTTTTAATCTTCCGTTAAAAGCCAGTCTCTTTAGCCCCTGAATTCTTTCTTTCACTCCACTCAGAATTCCCTTTTTATTAATGAGGTGCCCCAAACTAAATAGTGTACAGCTGCCACCTCACCCGGGGTCTGTGAACTGGAACAAACACTTCCCTGTTGTATAATGTAGCGCTGGTATTTATGCAGTCTGCTGTGGAACTGCTTTCTTATACCACTGCCTTCCGGGTTTCTCTCATTTCATGTGTATTAGCTGCCCCACCCCACCCCCAGTGTCTGAGCAACTAGAGTTGAGATGATCAACTCCTCTCTCTATTTCATGATCCTTTTCTTTTGTCTTTGGCCTGGAGACACATCATATGTACATGCACCATCCATGCCAGTTGAGTTTATGGTCTTTGCTAAAGAAGAAAGAGACGTACTACTAGGTGATATCCATATTGACATTAACAGTAACTTGTTTCTGTTGTAGAAACCCCTTTAAGAGAACTCACCTTCAACTATACCCTCCCTTCTACCAAGGATTGGCCCTGAAGAACCTCTTGAAAGAGTGTCTTAAAGAATGGCTTTGTGGACCCAATAGAATGGAGACATTTTAGTTCACCCACTTCAAATCTGATGAACATAGACTTTATAAAGTATTTCCCACCCTCTCCTCTCTAACATAAAGATCAAGACGTTATTCTTTGGCCGGAAATGCCATCCATGTGACACAGGAAGCAGCAGGGGAGGGGTTGGGCAGCGCTCAGGGGCCCAGCTAACCTGGCTGTGCCGTCAGAATCTGTCGCATTGATGTTCTGTCATCATTGACTTAAATGATGGTGTTACTTCTCAGTCCCTCTTCTTCCTTTCATCCTCTTTTGTCCACATTCCACAAAGTTTTACAGAAAATCCACTAGAAAGACCCCCTTTTCCCATTTTTGAACTCAGTACTACACTGAGTTCTGAGTCTCACACTGCCTTCTAGAGGTGTCAGGATTTCTCTTGTTGAGTCTGATGGAATGAACTCTAGAAGAGTTTCTTACTTATTGACAGGAAAAAAAATCTCTCTTCAAATTTGACTTGTTACTTAAATCGCATTTGCCACCAATCAGTTGTATTTACCACATAGCTTGGAAAAGCTCATGAACATGTAAATGTGGAGATAGAAGAAATCACAAAGACCTCCTCTGTCCTCAGAACACCAGCCACTGGCCACCTAACCCTTGGTGAGGCCTTGTGGCCGAACACTGAACCTCTAGATCCTGCCCTGCGCCAAAGGGGCCAGCCTTAGCTGCCAGGCCAGCTGCGTGTGACTGGGGGGGGCCTTGCCCTCGCATCCCTGGGCAGGCAGAGTGCTGGCACTGGGTAGTCTTCAGCCTAGCATGGTGGTCTTGCCGGTTATGCTTTTCACACTAGACACGTGGACATAAGCATGCACACACGTACACACACACATATACAGCAGGCCTTGCCGTTTGAAAGTTGGCTTGGAAATACACATCCCAGGAAAAGCAACCTAACCAGGTGAGATGGTTTTTCTTTTTCTTTCCTGCAGTTTTTTTTTTTTAATTGTGACCTGGACTTTTGAGTGTTTACTTGAGTGTATTTCCTGCAAGACGAGGTAGCCTACTGACCCTTGCGATTGAGTCTTCTCATATCGCACCCATGCACGGAGCTGGGAAAGCCCTCTGTCGAGGGTGCCGCTAGCTTATGGCTCTCACTCACCTGCATGGGCTGTTGGCATCCCCTCGGTTCATCAGAGGCTCTTGAAAGCTCTCATAGGTGGGTCGTGTGTGTAGGATCAGCTTCCATGTTTGCTTATTAAAAAGGCATTTTTGGCTCCCGGGTGAAACTGTAGTTAATTTCATTCTGTCGGGGCCCTGGGTGGGGAGAAGACAAGAGGCCTTTTGTGTCTGCTGTCAGCCTTCCCCTTCACCGCCTCCCGTTGGCTCTCTTACCCTTCCTTTCACGACTTTTCCTTTCATGTACACACAGAGCTCTAAATTGTGTCCATATTCACAAAATTTAACGATTCTTTATTGAGGGCCTGCGCAGTGCAAGAAATCATTTGGGGACATAGCTGATGTCTTCTGTCAGCTCTTGGCATGGATATGTTACTTCATAACACCGGTTACTACACCAGCCCCCGGCATTCAAGGTACTCCAGTGATGACTTAGTTTACACAGGGCATGCTCGTACCAAGTTGAAGGA